GTCTGCCTCTGTACATCCACCCTGCATTCATCCTTCAGGTGGAGGGTCTTCTCTGAGCAAGGCATTGCCCTAAACTCAGACTGTAATGGGGGTTCCCCAGGAAAAGGGAGGTTCCAGGTTCCCTGCCTCCCCCAGAAGGAGGGTGAAGCTGAGCAGCGAAGAGAAGAATCTGGAGAGGAAGCTGAGGAGGAAGGAAGCAGGATGGAGCCAGAAGGAGGCCTGAGGGAGACACATGGAACAGAGACACGTGACGAAGCGGCTCTTGCTTCTTGGTTCCGGACTGATGAAACAGACGTGGGTCAGAGACCCGTGGGGAGGTTGACTGTAAAGTGTTTCTCTTGATTTTGATTTTGCTCTTTTTCTCCCAGAATTCTTTGGGCATTTCTTTTCTTTTCTTTTTTTTTTTTTTAAGATTTATTTATGCATACAAGAATTGGGAAATAGGGCAGAGGTGCGAGGGGTGAGAGGACTCACCAGTGACAGGGCGGGGAGCAGAACAGGCAGAGTGACTGAAACACACTGCTGAGGGGAGCAGCGGGGAGACAGGAGAGGTCTGCTGAGCCATGGGTCACGCCATGGGCCACTCCCTGGCCCCGGATTGAACTTGTGCTGTGGTGGCTGCAGCTGCCGATAGCTTCCTACTGCTGAGTCTCGAGCCCTGTGCCACCAGGGAGGCCCTCAGTACCAGCTGCTCTCATGGCTCCATCCTCGCCAGCACTGAGAGTTCGGGTGTTGTGTCCCCAGTTTCAGAGATGAGCCACAGGAACCTCTGAGATAGCCATGTGTCCCCTGGGGGTGACCTGGCTTGGGGTGGGGACTAACCCAGGTTCCAGCTGCAGGGGGTACTGTGACCAGCTGACCACAGTTGCTGATATTCAGGAGGTCAGGGTTGACCTCAGGAAAGACCTTTGTTCAGAGTTACAACAGCTCTTTGTTGCCGTGCAGGGGAGGGGTGGCCTCCAGCCAAGAGTTGGGTGTTCTGTAGTCAGGTCCTACACGCCACACCCCCATACTTGCTTTTGGGAGCCCCTGTTACTAATGGAGTGTGTCATATCCTCCCGGGCCTTGCCGGGGAGTAAAAGCCTGAGTGAAATCCAGTGGCTGGCTATGGGGCCTGGCGGGGTTCCAGGCGCGTGTCTCTGTGTCATCTGTAGGGCGACAGCTGTTCCCTGTGTCTGAACTTGCCCGGCAGACAGGCAGCCCTGCCCATCCGACAGCACAGAGCGAGGCCAGGGCTGCTCTCCTCCAGGGGCTGGTGGTTCCCGCCCTGTCCTCCCAGCAGACACTGGGTTCTGGCTCTCGAACCCAGTGTGTGGCGGGAGAGCTGAGCCTCTGCAGAACCATCAGTCACCTTTACGGCTCATAACTGAGCCTGTGGTGGGAGATGGGGAGTCTGTCTTGGTTTTTTGGTAATTGTATTTTTTAAAACATTTCTTTTTAGTTATTTATGCATACAAGAACTGGGGTGCAGGACAGAGGTTTAGGGTGTAGACTAGAAGATGCACCAGAGACAGAGTGGGGAGCAGAACAAGTGAATCTACTGAAACACACTATTTAAGGGAGCGGCAGGGAGACAGGAGAGGTCTGCTGCGCCATGTGGGTCAGCTCCCTGGTGGGGATTGAGCTCAGGCGACTGTGGCTGGCAATAGCTTGGTAGTGCTGAGACTTTAACCCCTGCACCACCAGGGAGGCTCCAGTAGTTGGAATTTTTTTATTGTGGTAACCGTGCAATGGTTTACAGCACTGTGTATATTTCAGAAGTACAGGGTCCCACCTCTGCAAACATTTATTACACCACACCCACCATACAAATACTAGCAACCCCCCACCTGTTGCCCCACCCACCCCAGGTTGCCTTCTGCAGTCAGATCCAGAGGTCGGTTTGGGTTTGATTTTGTCTGTTCCTTCGTTTTGTTTCTTTACATCCCACGTGAGTGAGATCTGTGATGTTGTCTCTCTCCTTCTGACTTATTTCACTTAGCGTCATCGCCTCCAGGCCCATCCGTGTGGTCACAAATGGCAGGTGTTTATCCTTTTTGATCGCTGAATAATATTCCATCGTATAACTCGAGCACCTTTTCATCTTGATCCACTCACCTATTTGGGGGCACTTAGGTTGTTTCTCTGCTTGGCTGATGGAAATAGCGTTGCCATGAACAGAGAAGGCGTGTCTGCATCCCTTCACATGAGTGTTGTGTCTTTGTTCTTTGAGTAGCTTACCTGTGAGCGGAGTTGCTGGATCACACTTTTCCGTAGAGGCTGAGCCAGTTTCATGCGCCCACACTTGTTTCTGGTCTTTGATGTGGGCCATTCTCACAGGTGTGAGCTGGTATCTCTCAGTTTTGATTTGGATTTCCCAGGGTAAGTGATGATGAACAGCTCCTCATGCACCTGTTGGCTGTCTGTCTGACTTCTTTGGAAGTGTCTGTTTGTATCTTCTGCCTGTTTTTGGCTGGGTGGACTTGTTGAGTTGTACGCGTTCTTTGTAGATCTGCCTGGCAGCCTCCAGCATGATCCTTTAAAACGTGCTCAGCCCACTTCCTGCTTCAGCCCCGGGTGCTGGGGGCTCGAGGCCAGTACCTCAGCCCACAGAGCCCCACATAGCCTGGCGCTCTCTGACTCTGCTTTTCCATTCTCCAACCCACTTACCAGTTGCTGCCAGCAAACTACAACCAGTGGCTTGTGCCTTTCTATTGTGTCTGTGACTTCTGCACATCAGACATCATCAGGCAGGAGGAGACAGTTTGCTGCATGTCACGTCTGCTGGGGCTGGAGCATCTGACGGCCTCTTCACACCCATCGTGACACCATGGGGCTGGGGACTGGCTGCAGTGGCTCCCTGGGATGACGTCGCTGAGACTCCTGGAGCTTGGGGATGCTTTTCTCCATCAGCTTGTCCCCGCAGCATAGCTGGACTTTTTACGGGGTAGCCGCAGGCTCCCAAGAGCATCAGAGTGGCAGCTTCCGGCCCTTGGAGGTCTGCACTGTAAGACTCTGACTGGCAGATTGTCATTTCTGTTTTGACCTTGGTTAAGGTAACCGTATGTATGACTGAGACTTGGGGAGGACTGATGTAGCTCGTGAGGGCTCACCAGCAAAGAACCTACCATACCTCTGCCCTGCCACATAGGCCCACGTATGCTTCAGCAAACGTGCCATGTATTCTCTGCCTCAGGACCTTTGCACCTGCTGTTTCCCTTCCTCAGGATGCTCTTAACCAAATATCCACAGGGCTTATTCCCTCCATTCTGCCTCAGATGCCATCAACGCTAACCCTGCCTTATAACCTCACCCACCAATCACCTTATCCCCTATTTTTAAAATACCTCTTGGCATAGCATTTATTGCCTGTGCATTGTCTGATCTACCCTTGTCCCTGCCAGTGAGTAGGGTGTCTGCCTAGTTCACTGTGGTATCCCTAGCTCCGGGTTTGACACACAGTAGATGTATTTGTTGAATGAATATTTGTGATGAGGAAACTGAAGCTCAGGGTAAGTAGCTGTCCCCACAACACACACAGATAAACAACAGAACCAGGAGTCAGACCCAAGCAGTTTTAATCTCTCCCACAACTAAAATCAGATCAGGCAGAGAACCCATCTTGGGGGTAGCCTGTACCTTCAGTAGAAAGCCCAGACTTCTTCGAGGACACAAGGCTCAGCAAAGCTTTACCTCCAGCTGTGACCTGATGCTATAGAAAAAACACGGGTTTTTGAGTCAGGCAGATGTGGCTGAAGATGTGGTTCACATGTGGTGTGAATCATATGCGGGCTCTCCAGACAAAAGCAGGAATGCCGCCCGTCATCCACCCAGCCAGCCAGCCAGACAGCCAGCAGCCAGCCAGCCAGCCAGCAGCCAGCCAGCCAGTTCCCATTTACTGGATATTCCTGTAAGCCAGGATCCTGGCCTGCACTGGTGAGGAAGGCAGGCGATCCCCTGGTGGAAACAGACATACTCACAAAGTCACCCAGATAACTATGTATCTATCGATGGTAGCAAATGCTGCAAAGGACTTAACCAGGTCTGGGAAAATGTGGAACAAGACACCTAATAGCAGTGCAGTGAAAGAAGTGACATTTGAGTAGGAACATATAGGATCAAGGCAGACGGGGGAACAGCACATGCGAAAGTCCTGAGAAAAAGGAGACACATGCCCATTTCAGCATCTGAAAGATCTTAAAAATGTGTGCTTAGCATACACACAGCTGTGGGCCTGCAGACAGGGAGCTAAGTCAGTTCGGGCAGGGTGTTGTGGGTCTGGGCAAGGCAGTGGCACACCTACTGGTGACTTCATTTTCTCATAAAAGGGAGAAACAAAAGTACCGTCTTCTACCAATGGTCAGCTTCCTGCAGGCTGGCTGGGATGGTCTCAGCTGGGGCATGTGGCCTCACTGCCAAGGTAGCTTGAACTTGTTCACGTGGCTGCCGCTGGGGTCCGGAGAGCAGATGCCAGCGAAGCACAGTACAAGCACGGCCTGACTTTCGCTGCAGATCACAGGGCCAGCCCAGATCCCATGAGTGCTGTGAAGCTCTAACACAGTGTTAGAGCTTGGTGCACAGGGAATGCTCTAGAAACATAGAGCACCTGCACAGCACTTGATGCTTCTCAGAGCCTTATCCTGCACGTCGTCATCATCTACACTGTGAGGATAGTCAGGGCACGTAGTCCTCACCCCATCTGACAAATGAAGAGCAGAGCTCAGATTCCTACCCAAGGTCACATGTTGAACTGGAGGCTGCAGCTAAACACAGGAAGTCAGCCGGCAGGTAACTGAAAGTTTACTTGCTAACATGTATGCCCAAAGTGAGCCTACTTGCAGGAGTTGTCATTGTCAAGCACCACCCAGGTAAATAAAATAATAGGATACAGCGGTGGCCCGGGCTGGTGAGGGTCTGCTGGGTTTGGCTCTGGTCTGTATGACCCAGATCTCCTGTGCAGATTTTGTTTTGCAGCTCCCAAGCTCGCTGGGGGAATGACAGTCGTCTTCTTTCCTATGCAGAGAGCCTCTCTTTGGACGCCAGTTGCTTTTCTCCACCTGTGACTTTCCTTCAAGAATTGCCAAGCTACCGGTCTATTGCACGGAAGAGGACAAACCTTGCCCGAGACAAGCAAAGTGGCGCTTTGCTGAAGCCAACAGATTCTTACTACTCCCAGCTGGAGGGAGGAATCACTGAAAACTTTGACAACCAATCCATTCGGAAGTATGCACTGAACATTTCTGAGAAGCGGAGACTAAGGTATGTTCCATAGCCATCTGGAAGGCCTGTGGTGAATGTTTTGGGCTAAGGTGCTGTTTTATGCATGGGATGCCTTTTCTGAATAGCTCACATAATTAAGACTTCATTACTTAGCCAAACTGTTGGGGCAAAGATTCCCCAACATGTAATAGCCCAGCTTATTAGAATTTTATTTCATGCTCGTGTAAAAACTCCTGGGTTCAGGTCAAGGTGGGATATTGCTGTCCTTCAGGGGCCCAGACTCCTTCCATCTTGTGGCTCTGCAGCACCCCCAAAGCCTGTTCATTTGTGGGAACAGAAAGAGCATGGAGTGAGTGCATCAGTTAATGGTTCTGCATGATAAATCACCTATAATTTTGTAGCTTAAAACAGGTCAGAGGGGCCATTCTAATTCCAATCGGGTTCCCCATGGATACGTGACCAGCTGTGGTCTGGCAGGTGGACCTTCTCTTTGGGGCTGAGTGTCAGCTGGCTGTAGTCCAGGCTGGTTTGCCTGGTGGCAGCAGGGCCCAGGGAAGGAGCAGCAGCCTGTAGCCTTTTTGACGCTGGGTGAGAGCTGGCCAGGAGCACCTCTGCCGCAGCCTGTGGTCTGTGCCCATCACTGGCCAGCCCCAACGCAGTGGGTGGGAAACAGATCTCTCCTCTCAAAGGGAAGAGCTGTAGTGTCACATTGAAATGGAGCGCACACTGTTAACTGGGGGCAGGGGAGAGTATGATCTGGGTCCGCTTACATTTCTGCTGGGGAGAACTGTAGTCACAGGGCCATCATACCTGTCCCTCAGGGAGGCTGGGGACTGTCAGAGCTGGGGCCAGAGAAGGGGGGAATGGATTTTGGGGCTAGCTGGCCATCTTTCTCCACCCTTGCAGAACTCAAAACAGGGTTTTTCCATTAGCCTGATACGGTAACAGAGGTGGATGTCTTTGTTTAGCTCTGCTTGGGCCTCCCGGGAAGTGGCTTAAACTCAGCATTGTACCTTGTAGCTTGAAAATATACAAACCTGGGTGATTGTCATTTTTAATTTGTGTATGGAGGAGTGGGGAGGGGGAGCTTGTATTCTCAAACAATGCATGCCTAAACTTAGACTTCTAATGTGTTCTGTTTTCTAGTATTTCTGATTCACAAAATTTGAATTCTTATAAAATATTATTGCTCTGTACTAAATGTTGCTCTGAACTAAATGTTCTTCCATCAAGGGTCTTCCCATCCCCTCATATTGTAACTAGTATGACCATTTCACAGATAAACAAATATGAAACCATGTGCTATGCACCTATAATGAACATAATGCTACATGGCAATTACATCTCAATTTAAAAAAAAAAAACACATCCGTCAAGTTGGAATTCAAAGTCCCGTTCTCCTAGACTGCAGCTCCCAGCTCCTGTCCCACTCTAGGCCTACACAAATCTCTCTCCTCTACCTGCCTGGGGTGCTTATCACCTACCCCTTTTGACTTAGTGAACAACTATGCATTTTTTTCCTCCTTCCTGGACTGTCAAACCCCCTCCAGATTCCTGGACTGTTGAACCCCCTCCCTCATCAGGCACACCAGGTTAAAGCACAGCACTATGGAGCTAGCCACAGTCATTGCAGCATGAGTTCCATCCTGGGCCAGGGAGGTGACCCGCATGGCGCAGCAGACCTCTCCTGACCCGCCCGCTGCTCCCCTCAGCAGTGTATTTCAGTCAGCTCACCCATATTCCTCACTCTGTCTCTGGTGAATCCTTTCAGCCCCCCACCGCCCGACCCTGTACCTCTGGCCTGTACCCTAGTTCTTATATGCATAAATTTTAAAAAATTTCCATGCTGTTTTTGCTTTGTTTTTTTTTAACACAGGGACATTCAGGAAACCCAAATGAAGTATTTATCGGAATGGGACCAGTGGAAACGGTATAGCAGTAAGTCTTGGAAGAGGTTCATCGAGAAGGCTCGAGAGACGGCCGCCCACCTGGAGCTGTGGCGGGAGGACATTCGCAGCATCGGAGGTACCCACCCCCTGGCACAGGGCCCTCAAGGGAATCCCCTGCATGGGGGGACGGGAGTAGCTTTGCTTTCACTGACCTTTGGATGAAGTTTAGTAATTCTCACCATGATGAATGTGAGCGACAGACCAGAGCGGGGAGAGTCTTTGGAAATCCCAACTGGGAGAGTCTTTCCTGCCCCTTTCAGATGGAGTTAGGAGACCAGTTGCTGGGCTGCCACTCTGCCTCGCCTAGTATGCTGCCACTTGTATTTGGCACATGCATTCGCCTTCCCAGACTGCCAAAGTGGGAAACTGAAAACTTCCCCTGGAAATAGTGGGAAATCCCTACTTTTCCTTCGTGGTGAGACATGGGATGTGGTGGTGTTAGCCAGCAGGGGCTGCTGTGACAGAATGTGATAGAACAACAGTGACTTCACAGCAAAAAGTAATTGCCTGGCAGTTCTGGAGCCAGAAAGTTCAAGATTAGGCTGCCTTCTGCCTTGTTCTTTTATTATTATTATTATTTTTTAAAGATTTTTTTATTTATTTGTGCATATAGAACTGGGATACAGTCCAGAGGCTCAGGGGTGGCGAGAGGCTTCACTAGAGACAGAGTGGGGAGCAGAACAGGCAGATCGACGAAGTACACTGCTGAGGGGAGCAGCGGGCGGGTCAGGAGAGGTCTGCCGCACCCTGTGGTCACCTCCGGGGCAGGCGGGAATTGAACTCATGTGGAAGTGGCTTTAGATTCTCAGTGCTGTGCTTTAACCAGCTGCGCCACCAGGGAGGGCCAGTTTTTAAAAAGATTCATTTATGCATACAGAACTAGGGTATAGGCCAGAGGTGCGGAGTCAGTGAGAGAACCCACCAGAGACAGAGTGGGGGAAGCAGAACAGGCCAACTGACAAAGTACACTGCTGAGGGGAGCAGTGGGCGGGTCAGGGGAGGTCTGCTGCGCCATGTGGGTCAGCTCCCTGCCCAGGGATCGAACTCACGCTGAAGCAGCTGTAGCAAGCTTCGAGGTGCTGCGCTTTAACCCATTGCGCCACCAGGGAGGGCCCCCAACCTTATTCTTAAATGATCTCTTCTTTGTGCACTTGGGGACAGGAGAGGAGGAGTGAGAGACGATTGAGGGAGTGCTAGTGAGCTCTGATGCCTTTTCTTAAATGATCATTAATCCCGTCCTGCTTGGGTAGTATCAGCTGAAGTCTCGGCAGATGTTCTGTGTGTGTGTGACAATGTGCTGATTCTAAACTTCATATAGGAATAAAAGGACCCCCAGTACTTGAGGAAGAACAAAGCATAAAGACTTACAGAATGGGCTCTCCCTGGTGGCGCAGCGGGTTAAAGCTCAGCACTGAGAAGCTTAAGCCACTTCCGCATGAGTTCGATCCCTGCCCTGGAGGTGGCCACATGGCACGGCAGACCTCTCCTGATCTGCCCGCTGCTCCCCTCAGCGGTGTACTTTGACAATCTGCCTGTTCTGCTCCCCACTCTGTCTCTGGTGAATCCTCTCACTGCCGCTGTATCCCGGTTCTGTATGCATAGATAAATAAATCTTAAAAAAAAAAAAAAAAGACTTACAGAGTGATCTACACATTACTATTGTAAGTCTGCAGTAATCAGGCAATCTGGTATTTGTGCAAAGACAGGCAAAGAGAATTCAGAAACCAAGTCACTCATTGACAATTACAAAAACCACTGTGGTAATTCTTGGGGAAAGGACAAATTCTTGAATAAATGGTGCTGGGTAACTTAACAGTCCTGCGAGTAAAGATAAATACGGCATCATCCCTTACCCCAAATGATAAATTGAAGGTGGAATGCAGAATAATGTGAATGGTTAAATCACCCAGGAGCAGTAAACTCAGCAGTGGAAAAAAATACCCACTTCCCCTCTACAGTTCTCCAACCTCACCCTCTGTGGCTGATTGAATCCGTAGTGGGTGGAAGTCAAAACTCTTGGTCACTGATGTCTGGATTTTTGTGTTCCAGGGAAATTTGGCACTGGGATTCAGTCCTATTTCTCCTTCTTGCGGTTTCTGGTGTTGCTGAATTCGGTGATATTTCTGATCATCTTCATGCTGGTTTTGCTCCCAATCTTGCTCACCAAGTACAAGGTCACCAACAGCAGCTTTGTCCTCATTCCAACCAAAGGCATAGGTGAGTGAGAGTAAGGCTTGATTTGCCTTGAAGCGCTTCCTTTTCTGGTCATCTTGATTGTCTAAGCTTGGGTGACTGCATGGTCAGGATGGATTAGGTTCTGCTACAGAAACAAATACCTGTGCAGCCTAATCATCACAAAGGGTTCTTGCTCCTCACACTACCTGTCCACTACTGTTTGGTGGTGACTTTGTGCCTTATGTCTTCACGCCGGAGCCAGTATGATGGAGCAGCCTCAGCTTGGAACACTGACTGTGGTTATGACCAGAAGAAAAAGCCACAGCAGACACACACTGACGCCCACAGTTTCTTCCCATAGATGACACATGTCATTTCTGCTGCGTCTCAATAGCTGCTAATTACTCGCTGCTCCTGAGATCAGCAAGGCTGTTGAGGAGAGCACTGCTGGATGTAATGTGGGCTATTTAGCCAACATCGTACAATCTACTGACCGTTTCACAGACTTTTATCTCTAGTAACCGTGATGCTCAGAGATACTGTTTCTTTCTTTTTTTTTTTTTTAAGATTTATTTATTTATGCATACTATGGGGGTATAGACCAGAGATGCAGGGGGTGAGAGGGAAACAGAATGGGAAGCAGAACAGGCAGGTGTACTGAAATCCACTGCTGAGGGGAACAGCAGGGAGACAGAGGTCTGCTGCACCATGTGGATCAGCTCTCTGGCCGGGGATCGAGCTCAGGCTGCAGTGGCTGGCAATAGCCTGATAGCACTGGCTTTTAACCCTGTGCCAACAGGGAGGCCCCAGATACTGTTTATTAAAAACCCCAGTCCTATGCAACTGTCACAAGTGCTGGACCCATGTTTTCTTTCAGAATTCTTGGTATAAGTCAGGTATTCTGAGCAGTCTGTCTGCTCCGGTGGGGAGTGTCCGCAGGCATTTGCTGAGTACCCTCTAGGCACCAGACTGTGGGAGGGGCCCGAGTGGAGGAGCAGACTGAGTTGGGCCAGGCACGCCCCAGGGCTCTGGCCTCACGCCTCACCTGTCAGGCGTCACCAGCTCCTCTCCCAGAAGAGCCCTTTCCAAGGCCACTTCTATGGTCCTACACATTCTTTCTCTGTCTATTTTTTTTCTGACTTGATTCTATTACTTTTAAAAATCCAGCTTTGCTCAGGGCGCAGGAATGTATATTGAGTGCCCGCTGACTCGAAGTTTAAATTTTTTCAATTTTGCCCCTTAACGAAGGGATCAAAGCCTGCTTCCTCTTCTTGCGTCCCCTTGCTTCATGCTGCCAACAGCATTTATTAAGCATCTATTGTGTGCAGTCCCCTGAGCCAGGCACTGAGGCTATAAAGTGGAGCAAGTTCTTACCTCCACGGTGTGAATGAACCAGGGCCGGGGCGCTAAGGAAGAGAGCAGGCGAAGGAGCGTATGATGCATCCGCTGGCCACAGGCTGAGCTGAGGATAAAGCATGTAAGGTGTCACCAGAACACTGGAGGCTGGGGGCGTATGTCCCCACAGTCCTCTGGGAAGGCAGGGACATGTAAGCCGAGCAGGAACGGTATTTATTTGCGTGGGTCAAGAGCCAGAGAATCAGCCTGTGTCTTAGAGGGATGAAGGCCAGGCATGACTGCTGGCAGATGCTGGGAAGGGCCTTGTTAGTACAGTCATTGTGTTCAGCTCTGTGAGCTGGGCCATCACAGCTCTTCTCTGGTGCCTTGTGGAGAACACGTGCCACAGACAGCTGGCGCTGGGCAAAGCTCTGCTCCATAACAACTGCCAAAACAGGCTGCCGGACTCATGGTTTGCCGGCCTTGGGGCAGAGGGTCGAGTGCCGAGTAGAGGCAGGCCCCTCGTTCCGTCTCCCTGGGCCTCCCCCGATAAATGAATGTCTTCTAGCTCTCTGCTGTATATGTTCATACTACCATCTGAGCACCTTCTGAAATCCTAACTGCTACTTGTCTTTCTTTCCCACTTGGTGGTGAGACTTCCAAGGGCAGGAACTGATTCTTACTTTTCTCTTTATCCCGTGTTTATTGAATGAATAAACGAACACGCGCATAATAGAATTATAAAATGGCAGAGCTGGGATTGGCTTTGGAGAACTGATTGAAATCCATTACTTAACTAAGGAGAAATGAAGGGCCAGATTGGGGGGTGGGGGTGATAGGGGGGCTCTTTTTGCTGTCATTGTGAGTTTGAAGGGCTCTCCACTGGGGGAAGCACTGTGTGCTTTTTCTTTTTTTTTTTTTTTTTAAAGATGTATTTATGTACACATACAAGAACTGGGGTACGGGCCAGAGGTGCAGGGGTGGTTGAGAGGATTCACTGGAGACAGAGTGGGAAGCAGCACAGGCAGAGTGATGAAGTACACTGCTGAGGGGAGCAGCGGGCGGGTCAGGAGAGGTCTGCCGCGCCATGTGGGTCAGCTCCCTGGCCGGGGATGGAACTCGCGCTGCAGTGGCTGGGGACATCCTCAAAGTGCTGAGACTTAGCCCCTTGCCCCACCAAGGAGGCCTGTTAATCAGATAGTCTAAAACATGGGGAAATGTGAACCCTCAGAACACAAAATGCAAATGTAACAAAAAGCATGTAATCTGAGTGGAGCCACAAACAAAAGAGGAAAAAGCCTGTATCCCAGGAGATTGGGAAAATTGAGAGGGAAGTGCTGTAGTGCTGGTGCACTGGAGTTTGGTCTGCAGACAGAAAGTACAGACACACCCATTCACAACAGACGCACGCATGTGTGACGGGCCCAAATGATTGTGTGTTACAGGGTAGCCCGGGGTGAACTGGGCTGCCTCTCTGGGTCCTCACCCCAGCGCTTAATATTTAATTGCTCTGCTGCGGCCCACAAAAGGATCCACACTGGGTTTATTTACAAAAGGGGAAAGGAAAAGGAACAAACCAGGAAAAAAGAGAGGGATACAAGTAACTAGAATATCCTACCAGCTCTGCTAACTTGGAGTTCTAGTCACAAACTAACTGCTAGCCTCCAGTCCCACGGCCAGAGAGCCATTGCCACAGAGAGAGAGACGTTTCCCCAGAGAGAGACAGAGAGAGCCATTACTTCTCCAGAGCAGCCGTTGAAAAACCACTGTCTATTGATCCCCCATAGTCCCAGAATGCCTGCTTAGCTCCGCCCTTGGGTCCTCGCAGTTCTCTCCCTGGGCTGCTGGGAGTTGTAGTTTCCAATCACTGGAGTAGGGGTGGAATCCAGAAAGCGAAGTAGGGGTGGGGTCCCTAAGACTCTGCAGAGTTCCTTTAGGACACCCTTCCCCTTAACATAGGCGCACACACATCCACACACTATGCTGTATGTAGGTGAACAGATGAGCTATAGAGACTGTAAAACCATTTCCACTTAGATTCTTTTTTTGTCTTGCAGATATTCAGTGCACGGTTTACCCAAAAAGTAGCTCCGGACTGGTTTACTTTTACAGTTACATTGTAGACTTGCTCTCTGGCACTGTGAGTATTGAATATGATTTTGCCTGGTGGGCGGAGGGAGGTGGCTGGGGGTTGCTGGAGTGGGGGACTCCATGGACTGAAAGCAGATTAATTTACACATCCGTTTCTTGAGCCAAAGAAACAGAGTTTGCAGCTCACCTGGGCACTCAGCCTTGTGCCCTGGACACTGGGAACCCAATAACACTGCTGGGGTGCCTCTGGATGTTGAGTGGACCCCTGGACTCCAGCAGCATCCTGCAGCTGTGACCACCTCACATGGCTCCGGACACCAGATGTGTTTGAGGACAAATGCCCCTCATTGACGGCCATTCCTTTAGCTGTTTACGGATTCAAATCTATCCCGTTGGAAGTTTTAAAATGCCACACACTTTACACTTGGCAGAGTAGATCATTACAAAACATTGTATTTGTCCATGCAGTTGACTTGGTAGAAGCAGTTTTTGCATCTCTGAGCTTATGGTTCCCTTCAAGGCCCAGAGATGAACTGTCAGGTGCATGTGAAAAAGCCCATTAGGCAGACGAAGGAACTGCAGACTGTTCTGCAGGGTAAGTTCACGACTCACCCAAGGCCACTGCTGGTGAAGGCCAGCTGGGGTCGAAATCCAGGCCTGCTATGTCCCTTTCCACAGCAGACATTTCAGTTGTAGGTCTCCAGGCACCAGAACCTTTCTGCTAGAAAAGGTTTTATGGGAGACTTAGATGTACATGGTTATAATTACCTCCTAAAATAAGCATGTTGTTAACAACCTTGTCCAAAATAATTTCCTGAATTATTTTTACTGAACTTTAATTAGATTATTACTGACTATTTTTAAATAGCAGGAGAGGGGCCTCCTAGGGGTTAAAGTCTCAGTGCTGTCAAGGTAATGCCAGCGACTGTGGTCTGAGTTTCATTCCCAGCCAGGGGTGACCCACATGGTGCAGCAGACCTCTCCTGTCTCCCCGCTGCTCCTCTCAGCAGTTTTCAGTCCATCTGCCTGTTCTGCCCCCCACTCTGTCTCTGGGGAATCCTCTTACCCCCTGCAGCTTTGCCTACACCCCAGCTCTTGTATGTATAAATAAATAAAATAAATCTTTACAAATAAAGCAAATAAATAAATAGAGAGCATGAGTGATGTTGAGTAGTTAGTCTTTACTGAAAACAACTGATCCAGGGTGATGATCAAATCAGAGGCCTTATTTTCCAGGCCCACTGGACCTTTCCCAAGGATGTTACATTGTTTTCAGGGAGAGATTGTAACAGCCCTGATATCAACCTGGGGCAATAGAACAAGTTTCTTGGGATTGTGTAAGGTCTCATGGCCTATGTGTCTAGTCTTCCCAGAGTCTAGAGAAGGTGGAATATGCTGTTCTAGTTTTTGTATTTTTTCCCTATTAAGATTTGCTTAATTATTCACGTAAGAATACATGGTGGTCATTAAAAATGCAAAATTTATAGAGTAAAAAGTAGAAGTAGCCCAACCCCTGAGGCTGTCAATCTTTGTATAGTTCAGAGATGGGGGGGGTTAGAGGAATCACCAGAGATAAGAATGGGGAGCAGAACAGGTGGATTTATTGTACTGCTAAGGAGGGCAGCGGGAGACAGGAGAGACCTGCTGCACCACCTGGGTCACCTCCCTGGCCGGGGGTTGAACTCAGGCTGTAGAGATGATAGCGCTGAGACTTAACCCCTAGCCCACCACGGAGGTCCTATTTCCTGCTTTTTTATTATAGCCATCCCATTCTATGAATCCATTTTGAGTGCAATCTCTGTGGTTTTGATCTTTATTTTCCTAACGGTTAATGATGTTGAACGACTTTGCATGTGCTTATTAGCAGTTTATATATCTTTGAATAAATGTTTAGAACCTCTTTCCATCTTCATCTTGAGTTGTCTTTTGTTGTTGGGTTGTAAGAACTCCGTATCTTGGGACTTACAGTGTTTTCCCCATTCTGTAGATTATCTCTTCACTTTCTTGACATTATGCTTTGATGTATAAAAGTTTAGTTTTTCAGAAGATAAAGCTTCTGTTTTCTTTATTGTCTGTGCTGTGGGGTCTTCTCTAAACATCTACTGCCAAATCCAAGGTCATGGGGATTCATCCTTCTATGTTCTTCTAAGAGTTTTGTGGTTTGGGGTTCTTTATATATGGTGTAAGGTAGGGATGCAGATTCATTGTTTTACTGTGATTCTCCATTTGCTTCTGTGTCATTTTTTGAAAAGACAGCTCTTACCCCTTATCAAGTACCAGTTGAGTGTATGGGTTTGTTTCTGGATTCCGTGCCATTCTGTTGATGGCCATATATCTAATCTTATATTTGTACCACACCCTCTTGATTACTGTTGTTTTATGGCAGGTTTTGAAACTGGGACATGAGTCCTCCAACTGTATCTTCTATTTCAAGCTTCTTTTGACTCTTCAGGATCTTTGGCAATTCTGAATGCATTTTAGGATCACCGTGTCAGTTTTACAAAGAAACCAGCTGGAATTAGTTAAGGATGGGTTGAAGCGACAGAGTCAGTTTGGGGAGTTTTCCATACAGAAGTGTGTTTAATGCTTATTTAGGTGTTTTTTTCCTAGTTTTCAGAATATGAGATTTGCACTGCATTTGTTAAATGTATCCTTAAGGATGTTATTCTTTTTGTGGCCATTGTACATGGAATTGCTTTGTTAATTTCATTTTTAAATCATATATCTGTATATTTTTAATGCTTAGATTTTATATGTCCTTTGTTCCCCAAACCCTGCCTGAGCACCCCTTATACCTCTGGGATTATTCTGGTTTCTGGGTGTCAGGATGGAACAAGGACTCTGGAGTGTGAGATCCTTGATGCAGGGACTGGTCTTCTTCAGTGAGCTCTCCAGAGTGACCACATGCTTCTGGCTTTGTTGCAGGGTTTCTTGGAGGAGACCTCTCTCTTTTATGGACATTACACCATTGATGGGGTGAAATTTCACAGCTTCACCTATGATCTGCCCCTGGCTTATTTATTAAGCACAATTGTCTACTTGGCCCTGAGCCTTCTTTGGATTGTGAAAAGGTAAAGTTTATCTTACTATATTCTTTCGATGGCTGGTGTCTGTTGGAGGGGCCTGGACTGGGAGTCATTGCCTAAGAAGTGGGCAGAGTGCAGGGGTGGGCTGGGTGGGGGAAAGTGAACCGAGGGGAACCTGGAGGAAATGAGCTGGAGTAGCAGCCTCGGGCTCTTTAGTCACCACTGAACACACTCACCGGTGCCATCTCTGACCTGGTGTGTATGCCAACCTGGTCTCTAGCAGGCTACCTGTAGGAAAAACCCAACATTGACATACTGGGGCCGAGGGTCACTGAGTGGCACAGAGAACCAAGGAAGGGAAAAAACTCCCAGTTACAAAAGAAGAGAGGGCATAGGCCGTCTCTGCAAGGACTCCTTTGTCTCTGCGCTCCTGGTGGTAACTTCCTCATGTGGCCATAGCCCACAGCTTCAGGAATCCTCTGAAGAGACTGACTGGTGGAGGAGCAGACTCAGCTCTGATCCTTCAGTTGTGAAGGCTGCAGTAGGTTAAGGGTCTTGGTGAATGTGCCATTTCTCAGGGTAGACAAGTGGTTCGGTGGGAGATCGTAAGCAACTCTCCCCAAAGCAGCCCTCACATCTAGAACTTTTTTCCTTACCTGAAGGCCTGAGTTGGGCCCCGGGAAGGAGCCCAGAAGAAGAAAGACGCTTCCTTAGCCAGTGAATCCGTGACCTCTGGGCCTTTATTGCTGCCTGGGGAGCTAGAGGGGAGGGATGAGGAAACCTATTCCAGAAGAGAAAGTGCTCTCAGTAGCAAAGGGCGTGGATTTGTGGTCCAGAGACAGGTGCAAAGGTCACTCACCTGCTTGAGCTTCCTATCTTTACCTGTGCAGTGTACCTACCTGGAAAAGTTGGGCGAGTTCACTGAAACAAGACAGGAGAGGTGTTGGTGCTGACCTGGTTCCATGTCGATGTTTATTAAATTAAAATTGTCATCAACTTTGCCCCAGTTCTGCTACTAACACTCTGGGTCTAGGGAAGTAATATTCCCTTCTCCAGATGTCAGCGCTCTCATCTGTACAAATCTAGGTTTGGTCTAAATCAAAGGTTTTCAGCAGGAAGAGACTGTGGAATCACAATGGAGCTTTATGACGCAACCCACGTCCGATCCCCTGAGACTGACGAGGTGGACAGCCTCAGAGGGCCATTGCTCAGGGTAGACAAGTGGTTTAGTGGGAGAGAATAAGCAGCGCTTCCCAAAGTACAGCCTGCCTCTTGGTAAAGCCCCTCAGGTGCGTCTGCTGAATTCTTGGCTGTGAACCTTTGGCAGAATGACTGATCGCTCTAACTCCTTCCAGTTCTGTTGCCGTGAAATTAAGATGTGTGCTATCTGACCTAAGCAGGTGTTCTCTGCTTATTTAGTCAATTTACTGTTCTGTCATTTATTCATTCATTTGTCCATCAGTGGATAGTGACCACATCACTGCTGTGCCATGTGTGTCAGTTCCCTGGCGGGGGGCTGAACTCAGGCCGTCCCTGTGGGCTGTTGAGGTGATAGTGCTGAGACTTAACCCCTAGGCCACCAGGGAGGCCCAGAATTTAAAATTTAGTCAGGGTTAGAGACTACAGCAATAACTAGATAAATTTTTGCAGCCATTGCTGTGGAGGAAATAAGAGAGACTTACTTGAAGTTGGAGGAGCCAAAACTTGGGGCGGGGTGGTAGGGAATCTGGGGGCTGGGGATATCTGAGCTGAGAGCTGAAGGATAGGAAGAGTCAGGGGAATTGTCCCAGGAGAGGGTAGGGGGAACTGCCTGTGCAAAGGCAGGCACAGAGGCTTGTGTGTGTGTGTGTAAAGTTAAATAAAGCCCCTTTAGTTACAGCAGAGAGGCCCACGGGAGGAAAGATGGTGTCACATTGGATCCTGCTGGGCTGTGAGCTGCATTAGAGAGTTTAGCTTTCATCCCAGCTCGGGAGGAGCCATACGATGGGTGAAAGCAAGTCATTTTCAACTGCGAGATACCTGGTGGTGGCCACATACATCTAGAATAGTCGAACCATTGACCAGTGCCAGCAGGCAGCCTTGTGAAACTTTTGTATTTGCTACCAGGCCACTATTTTGTGAAGGATCATAGTGTTTTCGGCACAGGTCGGTGGAAGGCTTCAAAATCAACCTGATCCGAAGCGAGGACCACTTCCAGAGTTACTGCAACAAGATCTTCGCTGGCTGGGACTTCTGCATCACCAACCGCAGCATGGCTGAACTCAAGCACGGCAGCCTGCGTTATGAGCTGCGAGTGAGTACGGGACTTTCTCTCGGGGGCTTCTTGCCAGCAGGCTCCAGCCTTTGGGTGCCGTGATGGCTGGCTGTCCTCAGCACTCAGCAGATTTCCTCTGTGTCCCTTCCAGCTCTTTCCACAGGCAGCGCTGCCTGGCTGGATCACTGTAGAGCTGGGTTGTAAAGGGAGGTGGAGCCCTGACGGTGGGAACACATAACGGCTTCCCTCCTTCCCCGCCACCTGATACTGTGGTTTTTCTGCTTGGTGAGAACTTGACCATCGCTTATCCCAGGAGAAGTAGGACAGGGAGGGAAGGTGTGATGATAAGGTGGAGTGGAGAGAATATGAAATAGAAGAGACTTTCTTAGTAGCTAAGGAGAGAAGAAGTGATCAGTAGCCTTGAGCAAACCTGCACAAAAGGTGGGGACAGTCATAAAGATCGGGGGGTCATCACTGTAAGGGTCCGGCACCAGCCAAACCTAGGCACACGGAAGCAGCAGTTACCCCAAGCAGAAACAGGTATTGGGGAGCGATAACATCATGACTTGTCACCACCTCGTTTGTTACCACTGGGTAACTCAAACCTGGGCAGAAAAATGAGTTCCAGTTCCTTCTTAGTATTTTCCACTTGGCTCCTTCTCCCCCCACTAGGTCTATAAAAATCCCTCTTACCTTCCCTCAGTGCAACTTCTCTGACCCAGGCTCTCTCTGGAGTCCGTGCGCCTCCCCCAGGAGCACAGAAATAAGCCTCCTTTTGATTTTACTGGCCTTTGCTGTCTCCTGACTGCACCGAACCTTTCAGTCACCAGTGGGTCTGTTTAAAGAAGCAGTCCATGCGGCTTACAGGTGGCGGTGTCAGTAAGCTCGGGTTCTGTTTTCACGCTTATTGCAAGTAACTGAAGTGTTAAATAGGAGGTTCTGCCTTGCCTTAGGTCTCCTTAAATGCGAAAGGACCTGGGCTTAGTCTGGGAGTGTATCTTGCAGGAGATGAGCATTTAAGGAGCATTTTAACATTGGCTGGGAGGGGGAGGCAGACACCTCCTAGATTCGCCACTTGAATGGCCCTCAGCCTGAGAATCAGAAATGCATTTTTGTTGATGCTCAGGCAGATTTGGAGGAAGAAAGAATACGGCGGAAAATAGCAGAAAGGACCTCGGAAGAAACCATCAGGATTTACTCGCTGAGACTGTTTTTGAACTGCATTGTCCTGGCAGTGTTAGCGGCTTGCTTCTATGCCATCTACAGAGCGACTATATTCTCGCAGGAACACATGAAAAAAGTAGGTGCTTCGTGAAAATCCGCTGAACTCTCCCTGGGGTTGGGCTTTATGTTAAGTCCGTTGCAAACCTCCATGGCAGGTAGATACCAGCACCCTTTCTCTCTGTCACACTGTAACTTTGGCTGAAGTGACAGAAACCTGAAAATCAGAGATGACCAGCTTCTACTTCTAATAGAAACAAAAGTGTATCCAACACAGACTTTGAGATACTCACTCCTAGCATCCACAGCTTTCAAATTCAGACTGGATTGCCTAAATTAGGAAAATCTAACTCCTCTACTTACTATCTGGGGTCTCAGTTGATCTAAAAAAAAAAAACAAAACAAAACAAAACAGTGGCTTTTAAAATCGAAGCTGGTTCAGGGACTCTGCTTTGTATAACCAGTTAGTGAGGGCCCAGGTCCCTTCCACCTGTGGCTCCACCATCCCGACGGTACCCTCTTCTGTAGGTGACACATGCCATCTCCCACATCCATGTCATAGCCACTGGGAAGGAGCTGAAGGATGTTTGGGGGAAGGCACTAAAGCTTCCAGGCCATGACCTGGAGGTTGCACTAAAAACGTCCACTTCCGCCCCTCTGGCCAGAACATAGTCAGCAGGCCATGCCTAGCCACAAAGGCAGGGCTGCAGGTGCTGTTTACTCCCTGCCGGCCATATATTTATGTAGCTACCTTGTCTACATAAAGGAAGGAGACGAGAATGGTATTCCAAGTGAATTAGTACCATAGTCTTGAAATTACTATTTATACTGATTACGTAGATTTGTTTTACACTTCACCTTAATAAATCCCATAAAGCTGGTTTTTCTTCCAAAGTGGTGCTGGGCCTCAGTTCTTCTGTTAGAAACCGCAGGGAAGCAATGGCTTGTGTTTCAGGGCCCTGGTGTATGTTTCGTTTCACTTGTCCACTAACTGGTACATTGGAATCCAGTTGCATTTGTGATGCACCTTTCCTGCCTTACTCCTAACCAGTTTTGTTCTCACCATAGGAAATTGACAAGATGGTTTTTGGAGAAAATCTCTTAATAATGTACCTGCCCTCCATTGTGATCACCCTGGCCAATTTTATCACCCCCGTGATCTTTGCCAGGATCATCCATTACGAGGATTATTCCCCAGGCTTTGAGATCCGGCTGACAATCCTTAGGTAATGCCTGCTATGCCAAGCACACCACACTTGCCCACTCCCATGCCTGTGGCAGACATTATTAATCAATAGTGATATATTTTCCTGCTGAGCCAAGAATCCTCTTGCGCCTTCAGGCAGCCCCATGAGTGAATCACTTTGCATGTGCATCAAAATCTCATCGACTTGACTGCTCATCAGTATTGTACTTTTGGTTCATATTTTGGTACATGAGAGCTGAGGGTGTGAGGTGGGGTCCAAGGAGGAGGCATTGCTCTGAGACGTTAGAAATGACTGGTGTGTACCAGCAGAAGACTGAGGAAGTGAGAGCAGGGCACCAACTGATAAAGGTGTGTTGGGGAACAGGTTGCCACTCTTGGCTACCAGGGTGTGGTCTCACTGGGAAACTGAGTCTTGTGTGAAAAACACCTTTAGAATTTTTACCCAGCCTATGGGGGGCTGGCTCCCAGAGTCATTAGCACCCACTACCTTCAGGCAGGGGCCACGGGAGGAGACTGAGAAGTGCCTGCAGTAGAAGCCAGTGGCCTTTGCTAGGTACCCGGATGTGACTGAGTCCCAAATCTGTGTGCTGCAGTTGACTTTTTATAATCTGCTCTCAAAGCTCTTACTCTGAATAAATATTCAGTCTTATTAAAAAAAAGAAAAAGAAAAAGCCAGGTGTCAAGCAGAACCAGGTAGTTAACACAAGCAGGTGTTCTGAGGACCAGGTATGAGCCTGGAGAGTTTTCTTTCTGCTTCTCAAATGCCTCAAATTGCTTCTGCAGCTTCTTTTGGAAAAACTTTTTGTTTGGAAATTTTCAGCAGAATGAATGGTGTGGGTTTGCCCCTCGCCCCTCCACACACTGTTGAATGTGTGTTCTTTTCTTTTTTATTATAAACCGAAGCATATAAAAACAAATTTTAAAAGATCAGAGTGCTCCTGGCCCTCCCCCCAGCGCCTGGCCGCCTCGGTATCCCTCATCACCACTTCTGTCCTCTTGTCCTTTCCCCCACACTTCTTCTTTTAAAAATAGGATCTCGTCTACTCTGCATGGGCTCGCTCACTTCCCAGTGTACCTGCAGTGGCTTGAAGCTGATACCTGTAAGGTTTGGGAGGCCTTTCCAGGAATGAGGCATATTCTGTGCTGTGGCTGTGTTGTCATGGATTCAGGTTGCCCACTTTTTTGGCCTTTTTCCTGCCATTAAAAAAAAAGAGATAGTGGCCCTCCCTGGTGGCGCAGCGGGTTAAAGCACAGCACTGAGAATCTAAAGCCACTTCCTCAGAGTTCGATTCCTGCCCCGGAGGTGACCACATGGCATGGCAGACCTCTCCTGACCCGCCCACTGCTCCCCTCAGCAGTGTACTTCGTCGATCTGCCTGTTCTGCTCCCCACTCTGTCTCTGGTGAAGCCTCTCACCGCCCCTGAGCCTCTGGCCTGTACCCCAGTTCTGTATAGACATAAGAATTACCATAGATCTCTTAAAAAAAAAAAAAGATTGATTTGTTTATGCATATCCTGAGGTACAGGATACAGTGCAGGGTATGGGAAAGGATTCACCAGAGACAGAGTGGGGAGCAGAGCAGGCAGATGTACTGAGAAAAAAAAAAAACTGCTGAGGGGAGCAGCGGGGAGACAGGAGAGGTCTGCTGCGCCGTGTGGGTCAGCTCCCTGGCCGTGGATGGAACTCGTGCTGCGGTGGCTGTGGACAGCTTCTTAATGCTGTGCTTTACCCCCGTGAACCACCAGGGTGGCCCCCTGGATGCCATTTTTGAGTGTGCCGCTCAGGGGCAGTCAGTCTGTGCCACCTGTTATGCCTATACCACCACTGTCCATTTCTAGAACTGTCTCATCATCACATATACAAATGCTGTACCCATGTGTGGGTTTGCTTCTAAGGTGGCTTCTCTGAGCTGCAGCCCCAGTTCTGAGAACTGGGCCCCCAACCTGTCCTCTGGGCCCTGCAGGTGCGTCTTCATGCGGTTGGCCACCATCTGTGTGCTGGTGTTCACCCTGGGCTCCAAGATAACTTCCTGCGATAACAACTCGTGTGAGCTCTGCGGCTACAACCAGAAACTCTACCCGGTGAGGCCGTGGGGGTGGGAAACCCTGCTGGGTATGTTACTTTCCAGAATAAGCTTAGCAGCAGGAGAGCAGCCCTTGGAGCCATGGGTTTGAACCCCAGGTGACCCACTTCCTTGCCCTGCCTTTTCAGGGCTGTGTTGGAGCATCGGGGCCCACTGCCTGGTGATCAAACCAGAGGCAGCGGGCTCCGGGGAGAGAGAGGGTATCGGAGGACCCTGAGAACTGGCTTTCTCTGCCAGTCAGGTCTCACCTTCTCTTTCTTGGATTTCAGTGCTGGGAGACTCAAGTTGGGCAGGAAATGTACAAGCTGATGATCTTTGACCTCATCATCACCTTGGCTGTGACCCTGTTTGTGGATTTTCCTAGAAAGTAAGTGTGAGACATACCCCTCTTGTCTTCCCCGCCTCCACTGGAGGCTGCCGGTGTCTCTGGAGAGTGCTGGGTGTTCCCTGGAAGCCACAAGACCACTTGGGGATTTGCAGCAACTGCAGGCAGGTTGACCTTGTCATCAATTAGGTGTCGCCTCCGATGAAGGGCAGTAAGGGGGCGTATCCCTCTTTCCGCGGGTGTTCTCTGGCAGAGACTGCTTGCCACTACTTAGCCGTGGACTGTGTCTGTACTCCAGCTGGACATGCAGTGTTCTGATCTGGCTTCAAATCAGGTTCTGTCCCTTGCTAGTCAGGTGGCCTCAAGCAAGGTCTTCAAGCTCCGAACCTGTCATCTCACCTGGGCGAGGAGTCGTTTGAGTGTAGGCCAGCGCACTAAGGACAGAGCAGGCTCATCAGCTCTGCTGCTGTGTTTGTTGTCTCTGTCTCCTTGAGCCCCAAGGGGACCACTTCATCACTCTTTTTCACCCACCTGGACCAGTTATCCCAGTGTGACACAGCTCTAGTCAGCCTTAAAAAAGAAACATTTCAAATAAACTTTCAAATAAACCTTTGATTTAAAAATAGCGCAAATAGGACTAAATATGTACTCGTTAAAAGAAGTAAGAGAACTTAGAATTTAAATACAGAAATTGTTAGCGTTTCTGTAGACTGTTTTCTCTTGTTATCGTGTCCCTAACTCCCAGTCCCATCCTGGAGTGTAGCCATTGCTACCACTACGAGTGTGGGGTAGATCCAGCTTCAAGGACAACTGAAGGCATATTTTTGCATAAGTTCATGTATGTAGATAGGCTTGCGGGAAGCAATCTTTTTCTCTCTCATAAATGGGATCACGTTACCATAGTCTGGCAAAGTATCATGAACAACTTTCCATGTCAGGACAGGACACATGTGTGTCCCTCCTTTTGAAGGCTGTATAGTGCTCCACGGTGGCCATAGTTCATAATTTGTCCACATTGTCCCTACATTGTGAGCAGTAGATGGTTTCTAGTATTTTTGCTTCAGTGAACACCTGTCTGTTCCTCTCAGACTCACGATCCTAGGGGCCCAGTAGGTATCTTCCAGGCTTCTGGATCATCTGAGGTGGATTTTCTGTGTGGATGCACATTGCTTTTTGGACTGAGTGGCAAGCCACCTGCGTCCTTTACTGCCATTGTGACCCAACGAAGTAGCTGGTGGTATAATTCCCCCACATTCCAGATGAGAAAGATGAACCTTGTCTCACTATATTTGACTGATAAACTGTAGCCCCGAAATGGGACGCTGGTCTCAATGATGCTAGAGTTTCCTGTGTTTCTAGACTTATTACCCACCAGTTTCCCCAGAGATAATGGCTGTGTGGACTTTGTAGGCGTGGATTTGTAGACATGGTTCTGTGGCCTCACCAGACTCTGGTAGTCCAGGGGTGAAATTGTCCTATTTGTTTCCAGGCTCCTGGTGACCTACTGCTCCTCTTCAAAGCTCATTCAGTGCTGGGGGCAGCAGGAATTTGCCATTCCTGATAACGTTCTGGGGATTGTTTATGGGCAAACCATCTGCTGGATTGGAGCCTTTTTCTCACCCCTACTCCCTGCAATTGCAACCTTGAAATTCATTGTCATCTTTTATGTGAAAGAGGTAAGGAGTGAAGGTGGGGCAGGGGGTGGTACCCTGGACCATTCTGACTTGCATTTGGCACTCTCGTTTGGGGGGACCCAGCTTACCTCCATCAGACATACCAAAGTCATCCCTCTCATGTGACATCACATTCTGATCATTTTCGGAGTTTCATTCAAATGAATGGTTTTGTTTCTGTGATTGAAATGGGTTTCTGTGTCGTTGCCTAAGTGAGCTACAGTGGATCAGTCGGTTGACAGGTATCTTTTGGTGATGTTTACCAACATGTTGTTTGATTCAAGTTTTGTAACTTTTCTGTTGGGACTTGGGTGTCTGTGTATTATGGTCAGCTTGCAGTTATTCCCAGAAGTCCTTGACTGTTTCGCAGGCCCCAGCCACTGTGTTGAACTCTGCTTCATGGGTGAAGTAGCCCTGCTGTGATTATTTACCAGATTTCTTTTTTCTTTTTTACAGAGGCAAAATATGCTCATTGTTAAACATATGCACAATACAGATATATGTCGAGTAACTTTCAGCCTACCCTTTCTATCAGAGGAACCCTCTGTTAGCTAGCCTGACATTTATTACCTAGTGCGCCACAATCTGAAGATTCAGAAATAGAACTAATATTATCAGTGATCATGACAACAATAATAGTGAGTGGTAGTACCATGTGCCTGTGTAGCTGAACACATACAGAGACTGTTGAGTAATGCTTACACTCACCTTTTGATGTAGGTCCTGCTATTAACATCCATATTTATACATTAGGAAGCTGAGATGCAGAGAGGTCAAGTAATTGGTCCAAAGTTACATAGCTTATAAGTAAGTGACTCCAGGATTTAAATTCTGGTTGACCTCACTCCAGAGTCTAAGCTCTTAACCTGGTCATCAGAGTCTTGAAGTTTGGTTCCAGTTTTGTACCTAAGTGTTTTTGTCTTTGAGGAATGTCTTGATGCTTCCTTGGAAACTTCAGTTGACTGGTGTCAGAGGGAGAGATGAATGCAAGAAAGCTCACAGAACATTTCCCTTTTCCAAAAGTGCTGGTGCATGCAGGGAAGGGCCCCCAGAAGCTGCCCCTCAGTCTTCATTTTCCTGTCTCTCCCCTCAGATGAGTCTTCTGTATACCTGCAGACCCTCCCCGAGGCAGTTCAGAGCATCCAATTCTAATTTCTTCTTCCTGTTGGTGTTGTTAATTGGGCTGTGTTTGGCAATCATACCTTTGACGATCAGCATGGCGCGGTAAGTGTGACTGTGTTTTCTAGAACATTCTATGATTCCTGACACATGCCTCTTTTTGACTAAAGGGTTCATCGCTTTCTTTCCTGGATGACCTCATGGGTGCCCACCCTGCAGGCCGTGCATTACTCCTGGCTTATCAGGGTCACCTTTGTTTCAGTCCTCCACACTGGGGTACCTCAGTCCCTCTGCAAACTTGGAGTCGGAGAGTTGTCATTGTTTTTGAAAGTGTGTTTTGGGCCTGTCCTGTAGCTCTGTTTCCTTGGACCCCTGCTCTGGACCTTATTTGGGTTTGTTTTTGTTTCTAGTTATGAAGATAATACTTGGTTACTGTAGAAAATCAGGAGTGTCTCCCACATGCCAAGCCCAGTTCTGGGAGGTGGCACAGGAAGGCAGAGTTTAGCTTGGGCTTTAAAAAGAGCACAAATGCTCTGAATTCAGGATCAGAAGTTAAGGGTTCAACCTAGGGATGCTTTTCTCTGGTGGGTAACCATTTATGCCAGAAGCAGCAAAGTGCTTTCTGTAAAAGCAAGAAAGTAAATAGGTTTTGCCAGCCTTAGAGTTTCCTTAGCAACTCAACTCAATTGACGTGTCACTCAGCAGCCACAGGTGATACATAAACTCTCAGACATGACTTTACCAATAAAACTTTATTTATGGGCCCTCCCTGGTGGCTCAGCAGGTTAAGAAGCTTAAGCCACTTCCGCATGAGTTCGATCCCCGCCTGCCCCGGAGGTGACCACATGGCGCGGCAGACCTCTCCTGACCCGCCTGCTGCCCCCCTCAGCAGTGTACTTCGTAGATCTGCCTGTTCTGCTCCCCACTCTGTCTCTGGTGAATCCTCTCACCCTCCGTATCTCTGGCCTATACCCCAGTTCTGTATGAATAAATCCTTAAAGAAAAAAAACTTTATAAAAAACAGGCAGTAGACTAGATTTGGCCCTTGGGCTATCTGTAGTTTGCCAATCCCTGATTTATACGCTTAGGGAATTTTGTTTCTTTGTTGTTAAGTTAAAAGCCTAAAATTCAGTGATGTAAAAATAAACTTTAAAAAAAAAAAGCCTAAAATTCACTTTGATTCTGTCATTCAGATTTTAATTGTTTTTAAGCTAATTTGCATCTATCTATTTTGTATTGTTTTTATGATAATATTTATTGCCTTAAAACCTCTAACAGGCTAGGGAAGTAAAAATTAAAGATGAAAACTTGTCCTGTTTCCTCACCTCTTAGTGAATCATTCTAGAAATTCATTAAAATAAAAGCAAATTAAAAAAAATACAGGCTAGTGCTATAATCCTGTTTGGCCACTTAATTTTTTTCTTGACAGCCCGTACACAGCTCTTCCTCTCTGCCAATATTTTTTTAATTTTGATTTTTTTTGTAAGTGGTACAAAATTTAAAAAGTATAAAAAGGATATGGAGAAAAATCATTTTTCAATTCTGTTTTCCAACTGCTTCGTTTCTGTCTGGGTGAGAGAGTTTCCTTTAGCATTACAAGGAGTGAATGAGCTATAAACTATTCATCCTTTTTCAAAAGTAGCATTTCCGTTGGTCCAGGAGTTTTCTTTTGTCTCTAAAAATAGGGTTGTAGTGGAAAACCTTGTGTACATAACTTTGATGTGAATGTAAGCAAGTTTTTTCAAGCTTTAGTTAAATTTTTCTATTGTAATTCAAAGTTTTTCCTCTCTTAATTTGAGAAAAATTCAAATTTCTAGAAAAGGGAAAGAAATAACAATACAAATTTATGTGTCCATCTGGCTGGTCCAGCTGTTCACCTCTTGCTGGCTTGTCTTCTCCCTGTACATATATTTGTGTGGGTGAGCTATTTATTGTTTTTAAAGATTTATTTATTTATGCATCTAAGAACTGGAGTACAGGCCAGAGGTGAGAGGATCCACCAGAGACAGAGCGGGGAGCAGAACAGGCAGATCCACTGAAATCCACTGCTGAGGGGAGCAGCAGGAGAGACAGGAGAGGTCTGCTGCACCATATGCGTCTCACCTCCCTGGCTGGGGATTGAACTCGTGCTGCAGTGGCTGTGATAGCATCATAGTGCTGCTCTGTAACCCCTCGTGCCACCAGAGGCCCCTGGATGAGCTATTTAAATTAAGTTGTAAGTACTGTGATAGTTTACCCTACTGAGCATGCAGCACCTAGAAATAAGGACATTCTCCTTTCCTAATGTGGCCACAGTGACATTACCCTTAAAAAGTTAATGTCACATGCCTGCCAATTTCAGATTTCTCCAATTGTCTCCAAATCGTCTTTACAGCTTTATTATGAAGATGAGAATCTCAAGTTTTAGCCATTGTTTTCCGTTATTGTCTTCTTAATCTCTTTTGCTCTATCATTTTTCAGAGAGCTCCCATGAGCTTCCTAACCTGTCCACTCAGCCTGAAGAATCAAATCCCCCCTTCTGGATTAGCTTTGATTATTTTCTCATGGTGTCATATAACTCGCTCTTCTGTCCTGAACACCCCATAAGCTGGCAGTCTGTTCTAGGGATTTGGTGAAACATCAGGAGAAGCATTTCTGTCAAGAATATTCCAGAAGGCCCATGAGGTCACGCGGCCCTGGCCGGGTCCCCTGGAGCACTGGGTGCAGGGAGGAGGGACCCCCAGCCAGGCACGTGCCTTGAGCATCACCCCGGGCCTGTACCCCCACAGCATCCCTTCCTCCAAAGCGTGCGGGCCGTTCACCAGTGCCAACACCACCTGGGAGGTCATCCCCAGGACGGTGAGCACGTTCCCCAGCTCGCTGCAGTCGCTGGTGTACAGCATCACGTCGGAAGCCTTCGCGGTACCCTTCTTCATGATCATCTGGTGAGTGAGTGGCGACCAGCCGGCCCTGCGAGTGTTTCCCGAGGATGCGCATAGGCACCCCCCCCCGGGAACTTGGGGGTCCCCTGCTACCCTTGATCAGTGACTGAACCTCTCCAAGCCTCCCCTGTCCAACTCCAAAGTAGACACCATAATCATCATATATTTTTTTTTCCCAAAGATTTATTTACGCATACAAGAGTTCGGGTACAGGCCAGATGCACAGGGGTGGTGAGAGGATTCACCAGAGATAGAGTGGGGACCAGAACAGGCAGATGGACTGAAATCCACTGCTGAGGGAAGCAGCAGGTGAGGCAGGAGAGGTCTGCTGCGCCCTGTGGGTCAGCTCCCTGGCCGGGGATGGAACTCAGGCTGCTGTGTCTTCCGACAGCTTCCTAGGGCTGCGCTTTAACCCGCTGCGCCACCAGGGAGGGCTCAGAAGTCACTGTTTTCAGTGGCGCTTAAATGCTGTGGGGGGAGTGGGGGGTTGCAGGCAGGAGATAGGCCTCACAGAGGAAATGTGTCCGATGAACTTCTTTTAGGCAAGAGTTACAGGGCTCTGGGCTCTGGGTTCCTTATGAACAAGTTGACCATTATATTAGCGGGAAAAAAAAAAAAAAAAAAAAGAGGGCCTTAAACGAAAGCAGAACTCTCCCTGTTAAATATGTCAGGTGTTCCCCCAGGGCCTGGAGCCCCAGTGACCCCTTCCCCTTGCATTGCAGCCTCATCATGTTCTACTTCATTGCCCTCGCCGGAGCCCACAAGCGCGTGGTGGCCCAGCTCCGAGAGCAGCTGTCCCTGGTAAGGAGGCGCTGGCCCCGTGGCCAGGGACCTGTCCAAGGGTCTGCTCTGCATCCTGTGTGCATACTGGGGGCCACAGGGCACAAGGGTGAGGGAAGGCGGTGGGACTGTTAAACAGTTAGTGACAAAAGGTAAGTTCCCAGAGCGACAACTGTGAGGAAGATGACGCCAGCCAGGCCATGCAGGGGCTAAGGGGTCCCCGCTACTGTGCAGACACCTCGGAGACATTAGGGACCTGATGGCTGAGGCTGACGGGCAACTTCTTCAGTTGACATAATGATATTTCTTTCCAAATATTTTTTTATTTCTTGAACCTGTTTCTATTTTAGGAAAGTCGGGACAAGCGTTACCTAATTCAGAAGCTGACGGAAGCCCAGAAGGACATGAGGAGCCGACTGGAATGACCCAGGGGCCTGCCCAGCCCACCTGGGTTTTGAGCAGGGAATTTTAAATTTATTTTTTTGGAGTTCAGGCTTTTCCTGAAAGTGACCCTCCGTGCAGCTGAGGTGGGCACATTTACGAAACCCAGCCCTGTTTAGGACTTGAGTGACTTAGAGAAGAGCAGGTTCAAACTCAGCTATCCTGGACATCGGCGGTGCCGTGAGGCCTCCACTGGAGAGCAAACTCAGGGAGCTCTTGTAAAGCAGCAGAGGCCATTTACTGGTCCCAGCGCCTGTCTGATATGCCGTGAAGGCCGCTGACCGGGCATCGGGGCCCTTTCTTTGAACTCAGTTCTAGAGGTTTAGATGGAGATGCGAGCCCTCAGACGTGTCCCCATCTGAATGGCTGTGTAGACTTCAAATGAAATAAGCTTTTTTGTGCGAGGAGAAATTCTGGAATCCTGGTGTTTGGAACAGCTCGCCGGGACTTGGAGAACAGAGCTATGGGATTTCTGCTCCGCGGCAGCAGCATAGAGAGAGAAGCCCATCCGTGTAGTGTGCAGGAGCTGCCCCTGCACGCCATGGGTGACGCTCGGGGTGATGGCAGCCTGGGGTCCTGAGCTTGCTGGGCGTCAGGCTGCAGCCTCATTTTTCAGGGAGAGCTGCTTCCAAGGCCCTGGAAATGCACAAGCTGTCGGTTTCCTCGTCCGGAGTTCTGAGCATTGACTTCGTGTCAGAATTTAACAGCAGAGATTATCTCCGTGTTCCAGATGCCTCACGCCTCCGGCATGAGGGCTCCAATCTGGGAGAAACAGTCCACCTGTCAGAGGCAGCCTGGGATTTACATCTGCCTCGGAGGCAGACAGGCTGTGGGTTTCAGTATGGAAGTGCCTGGGGCTGCAGGTTGCAGTCCCGGGCCCAGGCTGGACAAATGGACCAAGCAAGACTGACTGCTGCTTTCCTGAATGCACAGGTCCGGATTAAGGGCTGGTGTGTTTCTGTGTTCTTACATTTTCTTCAAGTGCACATGCCTTTATAAAACATGCAGGGTGTCCTCAGACTTCCGTTATGGTAAAAACGGTATGCAGCAAATACCTCATCGTAAGCTCACCCCAAACTGATAGCTCTGAACCTTTTAATATAAGCCTGTCATCATTTGATGCAGTCCGTCTTCATTTCAGCATCTCCAGAATCTTTTTTTGAAGTACTGTAGTTTTGCAGAAGACCAGTTTTCTTTGCTGTCTCTAAAATATTTGTAGCCTGAAATCTGAAGTTGGGTACAGTTTTTACAAAGCTCCCCAACCCCTTTCACCCCAACCCCTTTCACCCATTCCTTGAGCACGAGAGCAAAGCTAACTTAGCAGCGCTCACACCTTTTTTATGTTTGTCCCTCTCTATCTTTGCCAGGCCATTTTCTTGCTCTTCCACAAAGTTAGCACTGACATGGGCTACTTCTGTACTTGAAAGACTAAGGACTTTTTCAAGTCCTGTGATGATTTAAGAGTTTCTTGGTGTAATAATCAGGACCATGGAATTCTGAAAGCTCATACCATATTCACTTTAAAATGCAGGTTCCAATTTTTTTCACATAGTTCCTTTATATAAAATGTTCCTGCCTTCAGCATGTCTGAGGTTTTCTGTGTGTGTGCATATGAAATAGAAAATATGATTTCTTTCCCTGTTATAAAACTGATTCTGTACTAACATGTTAGTTTCTGTTAAATGCTGCTACTTTGCATACCTCTTGTTTGAATGTTTTGTATGTATTTTGATAACTTCAGGTGATATCTGCATAATTGTTAAAATGCAGTTCTAACAAATGTGCATTAAAACTACTGATTAAACAGTATCTTGAAGGTTTTAAAATGTGATTGTGTACATATGAGTTCATGGAGGTTTCTTGTCAGCAATCAAGTGATCATGGAAATGTCAAGTTACTCAGCCTTCTCCTAAAATCACAGAGAAGAAAAGCAGTAATGCAATGAAGGCTTTTACAATTCCTTGGCTCTATTGAAGCTAAGGAGGGGTAGATGTGTATTTTAAACTTAAAAAACATAAAATTATTTCAAACATACCCCACACCACCATGCCTAGAGGGAAGCACTACTAATCTCCTAATGATGTTGATTTTATACTCCCAGAAAAGTGTAATACATATTCAGGCAGGTATGATACGTGTGTGGTTGTATGTGGGAAACACGGATTTTTGAGCTACTCCATTTTTCTCCTTAATAGCTTGAAGATTTTTCCATATAAGTAGCTACCTCATTCTTTTTTATGGCTGTATACCATCCCACTGTTAATTATACTTACATAAACTCAGGCTGGACATGTAGCTTGTTTGTAGGATACCACCTCACCCCTTACAAACACTGCAATTTTAGTTTCTCTAGCCCATTCTGCTCTTGTTCTTTATCCAAGACAGCCTTGCACATTATTGCAACCACAAAATAGTCTCATCCCAGCAAAGAGAAAAATCCAGTTAGGCAAGTTTTTAGTTTGCATGAACCCTTAAGTTGGCAGAGTAAATTCTTGCAGCTACATATCTCATTACAGCTACCTACTTGTGTAAGTATTGGAGACAAAAGGAAGTCATCTTTCCAGAGTGGCGCTTGCAGGAGCTGGTGCTGGAGAAGAGAGAACTTCTGAATGTATCTTTACATGTGGGATGGCTGAATTAGCTAATTCTATTGGTGGGCTTCCTTTCCAGTGCAAGGAATGTGCTTAGGACGTGGGGTGGGTAGGCTCCTTCCTTGGGTTTTTTATGAGTGTCTTCACCTTTCTGAGCTAAGGTTTCTTTATGCTTAAGAAGGAAAAATAATACAAATATTCACCTTTTTGAGCACTGAATTCAGAAATAATACTTTTGACATTTTGTTTTCTCATAAAAATGCATGCTTATTAAAGAAACGCAGAAACTTGAAAGCTACGGAGGAGAAAGTAAAAGTCACTTATAAGTAGCACAATTCATGACATCCACTGTTAGCCTTGACAAAATTTCTATTAAGATAAAGTACTGAGGGAGGTGGAGAAGATGGGAAGAAGGGAAAGAAGAACATATTGGTAATCATATTTCTCTTAATACGCTTTGTCATGTCATCAAAAGCTCTTTATGAACATTGCAAAATGTTCATTACATTATACAACATACAGGTAACTTTTTTCAACATCCTTGTTCTCTAACATTTTGTTTCTAAGTTTTCCTGATAATAAGTGACTAGGGTATCCATAAATCTTTGTCAAGTTTTTTCTTCTTGGGAACAGATTTGTAAGTGGGATTAAGACATTTAGGATATTAAAAGTTTTCGAGAACCATATACACCCTCTCTAACTTTACATGAGAATGTTACACTTAGAACTGTTTGAGTTTAAATCGAAAGAAAAAAATACCAGATGGTTTCACTCATAGCAGGTGTGTAAAGGATCAGGAAAAAATATATATATATATATGTAATAAAGTGAAAAAGAATATCAACTAACAACTAGAAACCAGAGACATTCTAAAGGGGAGGAGAGGGAAACAAGATCAAAACGGGGAAATGGTGATAGCACATGGATGAAGTGGTGGTGGAAAGTCCATGAGGATTACAACTGAGATGAAAAAATGTACAAAATAATAATGTAAAAAAATATTAAAACAATAAAAGTATATAAAAACTCATAGTATTAAGGTATTGCAGTGTGCCACAGGAATTTGAAAACAACTTCAATTTTACAATACATATGTGATATATACATTCTCTATATACACACACACACTCCAAGCATGTAGATAAAAGCCCCTTTCTCAACCCTCTACAGTTAACCAATATTATTATATATACCCATCCAGATACGTATCTTTGACCTTTTTTTTGCCCTCTTACACAACTCAAAATACTTTTAATAGGTCTCTAGAAGTAGGATTGCTGTATGAGAGGGCAGGCATCTTTTTTTTTTAAAGTGTCCAATTGGTTTCTTTAGACATTTTGAATTAAAAAAGTTACTAGGTTCGCAGCAAAATTGGAAGGTGGAGTTTCTTACATACTCCCTGTTCTCAAGCATGTATAGCCTCCATTGTCAGTATCCCCCAGAGAAGAATATTTGTTATTCTGGGAATGCGCTTTGAAGTATGGCATATATTTCTAAATCATCATCCTTCCCACCCAGAAAAATCAGTTGCCCAAACAGATGCACATCAACAAAGAGTGTGTTTTTAAAAGTGTCCTAGGAAATCTAAAAGGAAGACAGATTATAGCTTGTCAGTCCCATTAGAGAGAAGCAATACCGACCACATGGAATTTAATTTCAGCAATTTCACTGTATTACAGTGGATGACGGGAAAGAAAAACCTCTTTCCGTGTTGGTAAGGCAGAATATACGAAGACTGCGCCAATAAAGAAATTCCTCACGGTCCTCTAACCTACGAATATAGGTGAGCAGCCTTAACCCTTGAACCACTTGGCATTCTCATCTCCATGGCAACCCAAGGTCCCTTTCCTAGCGTAAGCTTCCTGAGAGATTGCTATTGATCGTATCCAATAGAATCTCTTCACTTGCCGCTCCCAACCAATTGAATGGAGACAAGGGCCTAGGGGCGTTTCCACCGGCGAGGCAGGGCAGGAGCGTCCTCGCGTGCGTGCGTCATCAGTCTGTGCCAAGGGCACTTTTGGCCCGCGTCTCTCAAGGTAGCGATTTCCTTATTGCCGCGGCCATGAGCAGGGCCAGGGCGGCGGCGGCTCATTCCCTGTGGCGGCTACGCACGGGCGCCCGGTGGTCGCTCTCAGGTAACAGAGGGGCGCAGCTTCGGCCACGCGCTGGGCAGGCGAGCCAGGGGCTTCTCTGAGGCTTGGGCCGGAGAGGTCAGGGGCAGGAGTTACACGTCACAGGGATGCGACGGAGCGATGTACTGCGAGACTCTGCGGGAGCGCTGGAGGCCGGGGAGGGGGCGTGAGGCCGGCTTCGGCGCCGGGGCGGTGACTGTCGCACCTGTGCCTTGACGTCACTGCAGGTGTGGTCGGCGTTCCCTGCCCGTGGCGCTCGGCGACCTTGAAAGTTCAGTGTCTGTCGTAGCCGTCGCTCAGGGCCAGCGCTCAGCAGGGTCCGTTCATTCCGAAGCTTGTCGGACATGCTGATCCCTAAGCCCCACGCTCGACAGGGGCGTTGCCCTGGCTCCTCTTTCTGTATACTAAGTACCGCCCACATCTGTAGGCCCGGCGGTGGGGAAGGAGCAGGAGCAGGATGCAGAGGAGAGAGCATTGAATTTGAATCCAGGCCCCACCTTTCTTCCGAGCCGCCTCAGAAAATTGTGAAATCGTTTACTCGTGTATCAGGATTTTTGCCTTGTACCAACAACATTAATTGTACTTTTAATTTATTATTATTGTTGTTACTGATATTATTACTAATGTTAAAGGTTAGCTCCCTGCCTGGGTTTTGAGGCCAGATCGTGGTGGTGGTAGCTGTGAGACTTAACCCCTAGGCCACCAGGGGTTTTGATTATTAAAAGTTTTTTTTTTCTATAATTGTGCCCCATATTAAAGTGAAATTATATCTTTGAAATTAAACCTTTACAGTATAGGGATATGGCACAGCCTACCCTTAATGGAATAATCATGACAAATAAGTAGGTAGGAAATCAAAAGTTATTAAATCATTTTAGATACTATTGCCTACCAAGGCTTGAAACCAAGGCTGTGTCTTTCTGGTAATAAGGGATATTAAAAAGTATTAGGAAAGCAGATTTTTCCACATGTTTCCTCAGTGTTGAAGTTAACCTAAGTGAAAAGAAGTATCTAAAAGACATGGCCTTGAGCCATAAGAACCCTGAAACACAAGATGTGTCAGACTTCACACTATAGACTAAGTTGCCTCTTCTCTCTTTACCCCCTTATCTGTGAAATGGAGGATAACACCTTATATACCTAAAAACTTTGCAAAACCCTTCTCTTTAGGGAAGAATACTTTTGAGATCCCTTAATGCATGGTGTTACTATTAGATTTTTATGTTAAGTCAAAGTCTAATTAATCCCAAAGAATTACATTTTTTTTTCCGAAGAATTACATTTTAAAGGCAAGAGGCATTCATTTGGACTCCTTATGTGTCCATAATTAGTGAGACTCCCAGATGAGGTGAAACCTGTCCCCAAAATAAGGTGTCCTAGGAGAACTCAAGCCTGCCATTTCCAGCTTTGACTGCAGCGACATTTCATTTTGATTTTTTTAAAGCTATCAATGTAGAATCCTGACTTCAGAGATCCGCTGGGAGAAAGCATCCGTTGTTTTGAAGGCTCTGGGGTTCTGTGAAAGTGGGATTGAGAAAAGAGTCAATCAGGAGGGGTTGGTGACAATTGCGAAATCGTTTATTGAAAGTGCTCAGAGCATCATGCCCTTCTAGCTACCATGCTAGCTGCCCTGTGAGAAAGCAGGCTCAGGATTTCCAGATCTGTACATTTCAAGTGGCATCAGAAATCCAAATCTTTAAATAAAATCTTCTCCAACATAGGTGTTGGTAAGTAATCTGCTTAAAAACAAAACAAAACAAAAAAAGACTGTTAGTAGTGTGTGTAGAATACACCTATGGGTGTATCTCACTGACAGGGAGCTCCTTTGTGACCTTTGCTCTGACGTGCTGAGAGTACTGAAGAGTAAATACTTGCTTTGCAGCTTGTGGAGGAAGAATCAGTGTCAGGTCATGCAGTTCACGAATGACCTCAGACAATATCAATCGGGCAACTGTGGATCGAATAATCCGGGTGGATCATGCAGGCGAATATGGAGCAAACCGCATCTATGCCGGGCAGATGGCTGTCCTGGGTCGGACCAGTGTTGGACCAGTCATTCAGGTGTGTTCTTATTCCTCTTGTCAGCCCAATCTACCAAACCTGGGAGTGTGGGGGTCAGGAATGGGAAGAAATGCTCCAAAGTCTTTCCAGTATGAATCCCCTCAGGTTATGCATTCCAAAGGGGGTTGCTGTTGCCCCAAGAGAGCCCAAATTGGTGACGGGAGTGGGGGAGTGAAAATCATGGTTTTTTGATGTATAGAGCCCAGATAGAACATCTAGCACACAAACAAATCTGTAGCATTTAAATTTCACAGTGGGACTGAGAGTAGCTGCATTAGGTGAAACTGCCCGTGGCTGACATTTTTAACACTCCACTGCCGGCACAGGGAGGGCCCAAGTTAAGTCGTCACACACGCTTGGGTTCACATTCAGACTTGTGCCCGCCTGTGCAACCTGGGGTGACCCCATGACCTCTGAGGGTCTCTATTTCCAAGTTGCAGGGTAGGATGAAGTCCTACCTGAGAGCTGTGTGTGAGGAATCTGCTCTGTACTGGCACTCAGGCTGAGGGGAACTGCCTGCTCCAAGTTCTTGGACTAGCCTTTAACCTCCCCAGGCCTCAGTCTTGCCACCTGTACAGGGATGATGTAGCTGGCCTTCAGGAAGCAGCTGTCCAGATTTTTTTTTTTTCCTGTGCAGATTTTTTTTAAACGATTTATTTATGCAAACAGAGCTGGGGTACAAGCAGAGGTGCAGGGGCGGTGAGAGGTGTGACCGGAGGCAGAGTGGGGAGCAGAACAGGCAGATCTACTGAAGAACACTGCTGAGGGGAGCAGCAGGGAGACAGGAGAGGTCTGCCGCGCCATGTGGGTCAGCTCTGGGGTGGAGGATGGAACTGGCACTGAAGCAGCTGTGGCTGGCTTGCAGTGCTATGCTTTAACCCTTTGCGCCACCAGGGAGGGCCCAGCTGTACAGATCAAGGGAGAGCCTGCGTGAAGCTCTCTGACAGTGCCTGGCGTTGACGAAGTGCTGCCTGTGGGCTGTTCCGCCTGTTCCACCATTCCCCTTTGCTGGCCAGGGCCCCGTGTGCTGGCAGTCGGAAGGCAGGGCAGCATGGTCCTGCCCTCCTAGTTTGAAATGGGGTGGGCACCACATTTCTCACAGTTGGGTCTCACCCCTTAGTAGGAGCCTTGTGGTGCAGGGGCACCCCTCTTTTGCTTTGGGACGCTCTTCTCTGTCTTCAAGAGTCTTTTTAGTCAGATGTTTCAGTTTCTTGCTAGGATGATGGGGGGGGCGGAAATAGCGTCATTTTCTCCATTTCCGCTTTGCATCTTCATCCTGCATGGACAGGCATGTGTCTTCCTCGGTCGGTAGCAGGCCCCCTTTGTAGCTTGCACATCATCATTTTTCTGTTTCTTATAGAAAATGTGGGATCAAGAAAAGGACCACTTGAAAAAGTTCAGTGACTTGATGGTCGCGTTCCGGGTCCGGCCGACGATCCTGATGCCCCTCTGGAACGTGGCGGGGTTTGCTCTGGGTCCGTGTCTGCCCACAGGAGCGTGCGGCCCCAGGGAGCCGGGCGGGTTGAATCACCAGAGCCCCACCTCCCCAGTTCTTGCTGTGACCTCTTAAGGGCCTTTTTTTTAACTTAGTAATTTTTGAAAATTAAGTTGACTGGCTTTTCTTTTTTTGCTCACATTCAAAATTAGAATCTCAAAATCAGAAGTCTCATAAATAGCAGGTAAAGTAAGCGTAAGCATGACAGAAGAAAAGGCTAGAGTCACTTAGCTGTAGGCAGCGGATGCACCCTGACAGAGGTTCTCAGCTGACATCTGCTCGCTGTTAAAAGGAAAAAGAGTAAATAGTCTAGAAGAACCAAAAACATACCCGAGGGGAGACTTTCTCCCTGCCATAGTCAGGAAGTTAGAAAGAGTCTTGGCGGGAGAGCAATGTCCTTACTGTGATTCACGGTTTGACACTAAAAGGGAGGGTGATCTTTAGGCTGCTGAGTTTGCCCCTCAGGACACTTGGCAATATCTAGAAAAGACCTTTTGGTCGTCACACTGGGGACTGACACTACTAGCCTCCAGTGGGTATAGGCCAGGGGCGCCGGAGAGCCCAACAAGGGACTGAACAGCCCTCTGGTCCCTAGTGCTGAGGCTGGCCAGCCCCAGCCAGCCACCACCTCCCACACCACTGCATCTGCCCCAGCCTCTACCATGCTGAACTTGATGGTTCCAGGCGCGGGAACTGCCCTGCTCGGGAAGGAGGGCGCCATGGCCTGCACTGTGGCTGTGGAAGAGTCCATAGCGCGGCACTACAACAACCAGATCAGGACGCTGATGGAGGAGGATCCTGAGAAATACCAGGAGCTGCTTCAGGTATTTGTGCTCTGGAAAAACCCTCCAGGGGAAAAGGGCAGATCTGTGAGTAAGAAGAAAACAAGCAGAGTGTTAGGGAATGACAGGGCCTTAGAGGTCTGGTCAGTGGCTCATCTTAAAGCAAGCAGCCGAGGAGCAGAGACCGGGCCATGTGCTCTGTTGAGACTAGAACCCCTGGCTCCGGAACCCAGCCACCACCTCGCCCTCTGGATCACTGGTGGCTTCTGAGCATCGCATGCTGTGTACACGAGCCCTTTGGGCTGAGTGAATCACTAAAGCCAGCCCGTGATATCTTAATTACAAGCAGGGCAGCTGAACTGGGGCTGGGAAACGGCAGCCTGCGGCCAGGCTGTGTTTCTGTAAACACAGCACCTTTGAAACCCAGCCGTACCCTCTGTCCACGTCCAGTCCTGCTGGCCCCGCCTTGGCAGGGCTGGGCAGTCACGCCGGGGACCAGACCGCAAAGCTTAATGTCGTGACTGACTGCTTTTGGGGAAAGTTTGCTTTCCTAGTGTTAGATGAGATGTGATGTGAGCCCCCCGAATCCTACCTGTCACAAAAGAGGGGAACCACTGACGTGCTTCATCCTTTCTATGTGTCCAGGTGATAAAGAAATTCCGGGATGAAGAGCTCGAGCACCATGACACAGGCCTCGAGCACGACGCAGAGCTGGTAGGACTGCGGGCACTGGGCGCCGGTGGTACCTGGGCGCCTGATTTGGAAGGTTGAGGAGGTGGGGAGGTCTCTGCACCCAGAAAAGCAGTGATTTCAGAGAGACCCCAAAGAAAAGAAACCAACACCCTGCTTTGACCAAAAGCAGCAAACACTTTGCTCCCGACAGGGGCCCTCTTTTGCTTCCTCCCTGCCCCTCCCAGGGACCCAGAGGAGTGAGGTGGCTGAGGCAGGGCAATGTCGGCTTCTGAATAGGTCTTCTCCAGATGAAATGAAGCTGTTACCCAGATCTCTCGTCTGGCGAGCACTCCCCTCCCTGCTGGGCAGGGCCTTCCTCTTACCGCCAGGGAGGGAGGCCGGGACGGCCAGGGAGGGAGGCCGGGATGCGCCTTTTGTGGGCTTACTGGCTGCTCCCAACAGGCCCCGGCCTACGCTGCTTTGAAGAGAGTCATCCAGGCTGGGTGCAGCGCAGCAATCTACCTGTCCGAGAGGCTCTGAGATGCGTCTGCATCCCCTTGTCTGGAAGACAGGCCGTGATGCGGCTGCTGACAGTGGCCCAAGAGGAAACGTGCAGCTACTGCCCGTGGATTCTGTTAATAAACTGAGGGTTTTCGTGAGTATCCAGTGTTGCTTTCCCTCCGTGCTGCCTTAGTGCCATGGGCGGACAGTTTACCTTGTTTGGTCCAGAGTTAATTTTTCCCGGAACATGGAGCATCAAAGTAACAGGAATCTTTGAGAGAATCTTCCTAGTTTACTGGTAGTGGAAGGTAGTTTAGAACCCAAGAGTGCTGAAGACTGACCCGCCAGGACTGTTTGGCGAGCCACTTCCAGCAGATGTGGATCGTCCTGTCATGTGCGCTTGGTCCTGGGGGCTGGGTTAGCCCCTCACAGAAGTCACGACATGGATTCTTCACAGAGTTGAATTATAATAGGTTTTCAGGTCTGTCGCCAAAACATGAACCCAAGCTCAAAAGTTTTCATACTTCACTGAGGTCTTTTTTGATTTACACAATTTTAGATGATGGTGAAAATCTGAGACCTGTGGTTCTGCTCGCTGGCTGCACATCGGGGTGTCAGTGGCGATGTCTAAAAGTGTTCTGATTGCAGATCTTACATCCTGACCTACAGTGAGGGCCTGGGACCAGCGGGGTTTCCAGAGCTCCCTGGCATGAGTCGGGCGGGGCACCCTGGCCTGGAGTGGGCGCCTCTTGTCCCATCTTTGCCTCCCATCTCCCATCAGGCCTCATCACTGCCTGCGACTTGCCACTGCCCGGCTTTGAAGGGTCTTGGGGGTAGTGTGGATTTATCCTCTCCAGCCTCTTTCCCTGAACCAAGAGTGACTTTCACTTTTTACAGTCAAGTGAATCAGGCTTCTGATAACTGCAGTAAATTAAACATGGGAGAGTAGGTTAAAGGCAGCTTGAGATTTCAAGCCCCCCGTGTGAGCGCTCGAGCAGCATTTCGCAGGCCTGCCCAGCTGGCTGCACACAAAAGGCGCCAGCTCTTCGCTGTGCGTTTTCTGTCTCTAATTGACTGCGTTTATTGAGGCAGAACAACATCTTTGCTGTTTCCTGGCACACTCTAGGTGCCGGCTGAAAGGAAGGGAGGGAAGGAGAAAGAAATACAAGAGGGGGAGGGTCAGATGTTCCCAACCCCCTGCAGAAGTGTGGGAGGAGGGAGGCTCTGGGCTGGGCCTCTCTGGATCCCAGCTGAGGTGTCTCCTGCCTCTGGCAGATTCCTTCACATCTGTGTCTACAGCTTCTCATCTGAACTCAGGGGCTCTTAAGTTCCACTTGCCTCAGGCTGAACTCTCCCTCAAGCCCCCTTGACCATCCCCACCCCCATGTGTGGCATCTCCATCCTTCTAGCCCCCAGGATGAGATTGCTGGTGTCACCTTTGACACCTGCCCCACCACACCCCAGATCTCCCACATGCTGCTGTGTCACCTGTGTCACCCGGGCCCAGCCACCCTCATTGCTCACCTGGGTTATTTTCAAGCCTCCTGACTGTTCTTCCTGCCTTTCTCTTGTCCTCCCATGGTCCCTTCTCAACCCAGCAGCCATAAGCCCGCCACACGCTGCTACAGCTCATTGCAGGACTGTCCGGAGCTTTTCCCATTTCCCTCAGAGTGAAGCCCCTGTGCTGGTTTCAAGGCCGTGTGACCTGCTCCTCCGTGGCCCCTCGCCCCTTCCCCAGGCTGCTTCAGCGACACAGGCCTCTTCGTGGCAGTGGCCCATCCCACTGCCTGGAATGTGGCCCCCAGTTCCTAACCCCCAGGTTTTCACTCAGATGTCGCCTTTCAAAGGAGACCCACCCTGACCACTTTTTTCAAAATTACAGCCCCACAACCACATGGCTCACCCTTGCCATGCTCTGCGCTGCCCCGCCAGCCCCGCTGACGCCGTCTAGCATATTATGCCACGTTCCCATGGGTTGTGCGTCTTGTCTTTGTCTCTGAAAGTGTTTAAGTTCTATAAGACAAGAAGCTTTCTTTTAATTTCTGACACACATTAGGTGCTCAATAAATAGTTGTTGATGGGGTTGAATAAAGAAATCTCTTTGCCTTGTTGGAAATCATTGTCACCCAATAATCCCAGACGATGGCTGTGCGTGTGCCCCAGCACAAGTTTATTGAACATCTGTATCCATGAAGACTGGATCCCTAGACTCCTGTTTTACACAAATTATTTTGTTACAAAACTCAGTCTTCCAGCTAGGAAGAAAAAAAAAGCTACCAAGAAATCAAAGGCATGGCATTCTCTATTCTTGCTTGATTAAGAAAAAATAAAAGCTAGGTACCCCCGTACAAAAGAATGAGCTTGCACCCCTCCTTCACAGCCAGTACCCACATTAATTTAAAATGGACTGAAAAGTAAATAGTAATGCTAAAAGCTCGTAGAAAAGAATACAAGGTTAAATCTGAGTAACTGGGTTAGGCACCCTCGATATCAGAGAGGCCATTTCTTTGCTTGCTGCACAAGCAACAAAAGAAGATAGATAAATTGAGCTTCATCAGAATAAAAGCTTTTGCACCTGAAAGAACACTATCAAGAAAGTGAAGAGATAACCCACAGAAGGGGAGAAGGCACTTGCAAATCACATATGATAAGGGAAACATCTAAAAAAAAATAAGGGATTTTTACAACTCAACAATGGAAATAGCCCAGCTCAATTAAAAGTAGGCAAAGGAATTGCCAGACGTTTCTCCAAAGAAGACCTACAAATCGTCAGTAAGCTTTTGATGAGATGCTCAGCATTATTAATGGTTAGCGAAAACCATGATGAGATACCACTTCTACCCACAAGGCAATAGAAGGTAGTGAAAAGATGGCAAAGGTTGGTGAGGACGTGGTGAAATTGGAACCCTTGTTCATTGCTGGTGGGCTTGTAAACCGAGGCCCCTTGGGGAAATAGCCCAGCAGTTACCATATGTTACAGTAGCTCCTTGGTATAAACCCCATATATGTAAAATTCAACATGAATCATATCAACCCCAAAGCAAAAACAATCCCATCATCCATCAGCTGATGAACGGATAACATGGTACATCCAAAGGATGAAATATTATTCAGCCATAAAAAATGAAGTGTCGACACCTGCTAGGACATGGATGAGCCTCAAGAATGAGATGCTTGGGAAATGGTGGCCAGGCATGCTGTGAATATTCTAAAACTCACCAAGTTGTATACCTTAGATGGTGAATTTTATGTAAATCGTAACAATTAAAAAACGCAGGGTTTCTAATTTTATGCTGTATTTAAAAGCAGATTTTGATTCAGGCCACTGACCAGGGAATTAATTTTCCAACAGGTCCTGCAGGTAGAAGCCGTGCTCGTCTGAGCTGCTGCTGCTCTGTCTGGCTTCCATTCGCTGCTCACTGCAGCCGGGAGCCTTAGCTGCGTGAGGGCGCCTGCAGCTGCTGTGAACAGCCACGTTTGCTGCCGGTGAGCAGCCCCTTCAGAGCCCATGGCTGATGGGTTAGGCTTCTGAGAGCTTCCAGGACAAGATGAATTCCTCTTTGATGGCTGTTAATTCCATTACAGCTTGTCCTCGTGTATTAACAAGGCAGTCATGTCTTTCCTTTACGTTTACTGCTCTGACCTTTCAGAGGAAATGTGATTTTAAACTTGGACGCCATCCAGAGATGATGCCAGGATGACAAAGGATATTCCTCTGCACGCAGTTCAGGTCCCCAGTTGCCATCCAAACTGGAGTTCCCTTCCTGCGTTTGATGCCCTCATGACTCAGTGTGGCCTGTGGACCGCACGGTGTCACCTGGGGCATGCAGATGCCGGACCCCACCCTGGACCGACTGAGCCAGAGACTGTTTTCAACAGAGGTGGTGTTTTTAAAGAACCCCCAGATTCTGGCTACCGCCCCTGTTCCACTGAGCCAGTTCCCGTACTCCTAGCGCGTGGGCTGTTCTGAGCCCCTTCTCACAAACAATGGTGGGAATGCTGGGGTGTGACTTCCAAGGCTGTCAGGCCCTAAATGATACTCTAGCTTCTACCTTTGTCTCCTGGATCACTCTTGTGGCACAAATACGCAGCCATTAAGCTGGGGGGTGGGTCACGTGGCCAAAAACTGAGGTGTCCTACTGACTGCCAGGTGTCTGACATCTTGGAGTAGACCCTGTGGCTCCAGTTAAGTCTTCTCCTCACCCCACAACCCCGAGAGAGACCCAGAGGCAAGCCACTCTGAATTCCTGACCCCCAGCAACTGTGAGACAGCACGAATGTCTGGAAAACTGCTATCAACAACCTGCCATACAACAAAGACAAGGCATTCAGAAGCCCTGAACTAGACCTTGAACTCCAGGGGGGCAGAGCCCATCCTAGTCACTTTTTCTGTCTTCAGCTCTTAACTGCTCAGTTGATTTCTGTTGCGCTTGATACAAGGTTCCATTGCCCTGTCTTGAAAAATGAAGTCTTATAATATCTTCTAATACACAATGCATCATCAAGCACGTGGTGAAGCATTGCCAAGGTGCTGGGTATTTACAGTCAAGCACGTGGTGAAGCATTGCCAAGGTGCTGGGTATTTACAGAGAGGGAACCTCGTCCAGGCTGGTGAACAGGGAGGCCTGAGCCTGCCTGCCTTTGTGAGCTGCTGGCACTCTGCCACCACAAGGGACAGGCTTCTCCCTCCCAAAAGTAATACTTGCCTCCAACCCAAATACAATTCAACATAAATTGCATGTTGTTTTTTTTTTTGAAAAGTGCCTCTTCCAAGCTTATTCCCCAGCGATAAACACTAGTAGCAATTCATCAGGTTCGTCCATTCATCTAGACTCTTTAAAATCTCATCCATGCGCAAGCTTCGCTTTTTGTTGTTCCCCAGACAGAAGGAATTTAGACTCCGTGTCATAATGTTGCATTTTTCTTTTTTCCTTTTTAGAAAGATGTGCTTTATTTATTTGTGCATACATGAGCTGGGGTGAAGGCCACAGGTGTGGGGGGTGAGAGGATTCACCAGAAAGAGCTGGAAGCAGAACCGTGGAGCCACTAAAACCCTCTGCTGAGGGGAGCAGCAGGTGAGACAGGAGAGGTCTGCTGCGCCATGGGGGTCCCTCCCTGGCTGGTGCTGCAGTGGCTGCAGATAGCTTCGTAGTACTGAGACTTAAACCCTTGCGTCACCCCTACTAACCAAGAGGGCTGGGGGGTGGGGGTGAGTGGGGCCCTGCAAGAGAGGATTGAACCCCTCCCCCATTTCCCCTTCCCTGTGGTGTGCATGCCGGTTTATAATAGAATTTGCAGCCCCAACCTTTGGGCATGGTCTGTCTGAAATTCCAGGCGGAGGGACCCGTGGCATTTACTCTTTCAGCGCTCCCATACCCCTTTGAGAATGTGATAAAAACTCTCCACCTGCACCCCGGGACCTCCTCAAAGCCCTCCTCCAGATGCCTTAATCGGGTGGTGTGAGAAGAAAATTTGACCTTTCCCAGCCAAGGGAACAAAAGAAACCTTCCTCCGAACGGCGTTTCTGGCTCGGCTAAGCGGGAGCACAAAGCCCTTCTCCACTGATCTGTTTTCAAGGTTGAAAGGACCCCTTCGCCCGGGGGCGCGCCCCCGCCCACTCCCGCCTCCCGACGGGGCAGCCCTGCGGGGCTGGGCCTGGACGCGGCCGGG